AAATAACTTGCTGTCGAAGCAATTATTCGCTCTAGGCCTCAGATCGCATCCACGAAGTCTGGAACCGCTACACGGCCGGTTCAAGCTTCCTGCCTCATGGCACCGCTTGACCATCGCGTACTCCCGTGAAAGGTACCTCCGAAAAGAGAACTGAAATCTGAGAGGCTTAGAAAGGCTAACTTTGTCAAACACACGCCGGCTTTATTCACTTCAAATCTACCCACTCACTTATGCTAATGATCCAACCGACGGATTTTTGTTCAACGCCTCGAATGTTCTTGTAAACCGCAATAGAACAATAGAAGAAACAACGCAATTGACTAAATCATAAAACTCACTGTGACAAACACTTTACCTCCCTGCCTGGGACTGCCTCCAATAGTAATGCAGACAGACTGAAAATGCTGCCTTTCGCTTAACTCACCCTTATTTTTACTGATTTTCAGTTTGTAAAATACAATAATACCAACAAAATTTTCATAACCAGTCAAGCATATGTACGAAGTGTAATAAAGCATCATTAGATTCTTAACAGCTTGCTATCTTATATTCCCTGGTTTATTTTCCGAACGACAATAACATTTTTTTCTAGTTTAGAGTTATGTTGTAACGGTTTTTCTTGTTCCTATGATTTTCAACGAAAAATAATTTTCTCTTTGGCAGTTATTTATCTGAGGAAGGCAGGCCATGCCTGACGAAGTATTGGAAAAATGCAAAATTTCCAAGCTGCACAATCAGCACTAGCCTCCCACGCACGCGTTTTTAGGGGATCTCGTTTTTCATCCCTCCCCACAAACGCCTGCTCAGCTGAAAACAACATTCCTTTCCCATTATTTTATTTGTGTGGTAAGCAACCAATAAAAAGACGTTGTGAAATAAAGTGCTGACAGGCTAAACGCGACTAAAACGTGACCCTAGAGTTACCGTTTTCCTTCTTTTCTTTCCTTCTCTAAGGTTATGCAGTGCACGGAGAATTCTAAAATTTGACTAAACCTTACTTTTGCCGCTCTGAATGTAACATTTATTAGAGGTCAGAAAGCTTTCCCAGTGTTTCGTGCAGATCGAGTAATTATCAGATTACCCTGCGGTCAAGGTAAACTTTCCAGAATTTGGAAAGTACAATGTGATTGGCTAAGCTTTAGCCTGCGTGACGTGGCAGTCGTTAAAAAGGGAAGAAGAAGGATAAATTTGGCGCGCGAGGGAGAAAGGAAAGGAACGCCTGCAAGGACGCCATTGTTTTCTCAATTTTTCACGCTCAGATTCTGAGCGTAAAAATAGTGATTGGTCAAAAAATTAATAATTAAATGTCAATCCTCGACTTAATTCCTTTTTCCGATTGGTCGAAAACAACATCACGCCACTTAAGTAACCAAACATAATAGTATGTTGTTTATAGTGAAGCGTGATGGGATTTCTCTGCGGGAAGACACAGAATAGAAAAAATCAGTTAAAGAAACCGTATGAAGGGAAAGGCCTGTCAGCAGATGCGTTTTACTGAATGGTTTTGAAAAGTATCATCTGCCAACGGCTTGTCGGTTTTACTTACACTAGAAGAAAGAAAGGAAAAATCATGCAGCCTGACATATGCTTGTTATTTCCTGTTTGACCCGCGTTATCAACGGCAAGGTTGTTGAAGAGGAAGCGATTTTTGGTTGAGGACTTCTTCTTGCTGGTTATAAGACTGCCAGGAACTTAATACTTTATTAAAATTACTGCCTTCTTGCAGATCTTTGAAGTTCAGCTCTTCTTTCCCCGCTACTAGCGTTCTTTTGTGTGCTCCGCCGGATGCAATTCGTCCTGATAGGTATTCAAAGAGTGACCGCAAAGTGTTTTCATTTTTCTCGGACAAACATTGCATTGAAAGTTGCGAAGAGCAGCTACATTTCTTACCAAATGTAGTTTTCCAACCCGATTCCCGCGCCCGATTCCTTCAGCAACAACTTCAATAGATTTATGCTAAATTTTCAAGGAAGATTCCTTCAATGGACGACCGTATTTGAACTGTTTTTATAATACCTTCACTGTAGATTTCTTGTTTTTGGAAAACAAAAGAAAAACAGTGCGTGAAATACGACTAGAATACGTGCATTGCCGCCAGACCGTATTTGACAGCTAGTCATTGACAGTTGCGTTATTTTTGTTATTTTTTTTTAATTAGTGGGCGGGATGGCGAAAACAATGGCTTCCTTGCAGGTGTTCCTCTCCTCCCTCCTCCCTAGCGCGCGGTCTCGCGCCCTGATTCCCTTCCTCTTCCCTTTCGAACGCCTGCCACGCAGGCTAGCTAAGCTTGGGAAAGGAATGTTGCCTTCGGTTGAGTAGGCGTTTGTGGGGAGGGATAAAAACGAGCTCTCCTAAAAACGCCTGCGTGGGAGGCTAAATCTCGATAAATCAGCACTGATTTAGCATGTATTGTTAACTTACCGAGATCCAGCGGTGAACTTTGTTTGCACGTTAGCCTCTACTTTCACTAGAACGTTGTCAATACCGTCCTACAAACGGTAATGACCAAAAAATACTTCCTTTGGCGCTAACAAAACGTCTTTTAGCGCTTAGAATTTCTCAAAGGGAGTGTGCCATCTTGGTAACGTGCAGTACTTTAAAATCGCAAAGTCACTATTTTATGAATGATATCATCGATGTCAAGTTAAATTTCGGGTGAAACTCAGTTTTTTAGTACAGTTTCACTTCCTCGCAATAGGAGGGTCTTTTCACAGATGGTCCGTAGTCTGGAAAAATCACCGGCCATAGAGGATAATATTACTCAAGTGATCTTTCTGTGGTATGTTCTGTGCATTTCTCAGCATCTTTCTGACCTAGTAGCCGTTAAATTCTATTGTTATCTTACTGGTAAGTGTGCGTGTATCAGCATCATTTGGAAGAAAAATTTCTACTGAAGCACAACTGCAATCTTATTCAGATGTTTGCACGTGTTGGATCACTTCGAGTAATTTCGATGACGGCACGTGTCAAGGTCAAAAGACAGAAAAGCTGAGCGAGATTAAGAAAATGTAATTGCATAATATTCAGTGAGCTTAGCTACAATATAAAGGGACTATATCACTTTAGCTTTCTGTGTTGCAGTCATTACTTAGTGCCTTTACCCATACGCAAATGGACCTGTAGAGTTTTGGAGAAGATATCAAACAATTTCCATCAGGGAGAATTGACCACAATTATTATTTTTGTTTTGTCGAGCTTTTTGCAGGCATGTGTAAAAAGCATTAAAACTTGAAAACGTTGGCCCAATTTTTTCAAGTTTCAATCCATCTCCATCCGTGCCATTCGCACTGAGCAACAAGCGAAAGAAGACAGTTCAGTCAATGCCTAAGTAATGTCGTAAACAACAAAACCTGGCCACTACGCCAGGAATGAGATAACAGCTATAAACTAGCTCTGAAGAGATAATAGAGAGTTGTGACTAAATTCCGATACCTCACTTTTTAAAGTCACCCATGAGGCGAATTTTTTATATAGTTTGTTCAAAATACGCTAAATTATATTCAAATTATATTCTTTTTGGACGCAAAACTTAATTTGACCCAAACGGCTTGGAAGGCTTCATTAGACAATATTGCTCAGTGTTTTGTCTTTCTCTGCTGAAGTCATTACTTATTGCCTTTACACAAAATGAACCTGTGGAGTAACGAACAAAATATCAAAAAAATTCCATGAGGGAGCGATAACCATAATTATTATTATTATTATTTTGTCTCGTTTTTTGAAGGCATAGCATTAAAACTTGAAAACATGGGCCCAATGTTTTCAAGTTCCAATTTATGACAATGCTTGCGATTCGCAGCAAAAGACGACAGGAAACAGTTTCAATGCCTAAATAATGTCGTGCAACAAAAACTGGACCCTTTTGGGGATTTAGTTGATGCGAAAATAAGTTTTAGTTCTACATGCATGCATTACAAAGTCAGGCTTTCTTTTTGCAAGTGCATAAGTAACTTATTTAAAAGTCATGATCTTCCCTACATTTAATTCTTCATTTATCCCGCAATTCAAGTATATGAAATTCATTGATTCATATATTCAGTCTCATCTTTCCCGGGTATATTACGAACCAATTTAATGACCAGCTCCTGGTTGGCTCGCTAGTTCAATTGGTTAAACCGCTGCACCTGTATCCCAAAGGTCAGGGCAATTTTTCAGGCTTTCTTTTCGCAACTGCATAAGCTGGATATTTAACTGTGATGATCGTCTTGCATAGTTTGTTATCCGGCATGCGAAAAGCCTAAGTACTTAGACTGAAATCCTGAGCATTCTTGCTGCTCAGTTTACCAGTAGCGTTCTCGGGCGTTCACTTTGAGAGACAGATGGAATAGCTCCTTCCATGGACGGCAGGCGGTGGCTGTGGAAATGTCGCCGACTGGCAAAGTAAGCTCATTAGTGAATGCTCATGTTTGTCCTTTCTTATTTATGTTTTCAAAACGTTTTCTTATAGGAGATACTTTCCATCCTTCCATGGCATTCGCAGCTCCGATGTTTCCTTCCTCAAAGGAGACCACTAACTATGCAAGATTATGCCGCCTTCTTGTTGGTGCTGGTTCACAGGTCTTAAGAGAGACATTTGACAGAATTCATCCTCCGGGAGTCCTAGAATTTTAACAACCACACCAGCTCATCCTAAACTGAAGAAACTTCAAAAGAAGAAAATCTTGAATCCTTCGCAATGGGATAAACTGTACCCTGTCATCAAATCTTCAGTTACGTCCAAGAATTTTGACATCACTCTGCTAGTGCTGTTTCTCAGGAATATTTGTAGCCTGACTCCTCCTGCCACCGGCTGGGATGCCCTACCTTTACCTACAGATTTGACTCGTGAGGCTGAAATCGTTCGCATCAAATTTTATAGAAATACAGTGTATGCCCATGCACCTCAGGCGTCGATTGACGATACTGCATTTGATAATTACTGGAAGAATATCCACGATACGCTAGTACGACTGGGGGGAGCGACTTATGAAGCGGCTATTGATGCTCTTAAGAATGACAGCATGGACCCTGAAATGGAAGATCACTACAAAGAGCTTCTAAAGCAATGGAAGATGGACGAAGACAACATAAAAGACAAGCTGGATAATATTGAGGCCAAAATAGACAAACTTGACGCAAAAATTGACAAGCAATTGGGTTCGACGTCCGGTAAGTGGAATACAGAGCCCTTAAATTCTCTTTCAGTAGGACTTACATATAACGAAGATCCAAGGGACTGACAAACTATTTTCACTGTAACGAGGCTTCTTTATAGCGAGGTTAATTCGACAAATATTTTTATGAGGGGGGCAAAAACTATCGCTCGTTATTCCGACTTCGTTATATACGGTTTCGTTACATGTACTTTCCGAGTACTTTTAATTTACTGTAGGTATACGTATCCTGCAATTACGTTTTATTTGCGTATCAAATACATCTTGTCCATTTTATGATGACTCAAAGTCAACACCTAGGGAAGGTGTACGTTTAAATCTCCCATGAACGGACACTTTTGGGGAAAGAACGAATCCGCTAGAGGGAGATGATTAACAGTACATAGAATTTTTGCTGGCTAGTTTTTTCTTTTAAGTTTTCCTTTTACATTTCTTTTAAAAAAATTAAAAATGCCATAGTAACTATGCTAGATTTCCCTGTAACCCAGTTCTAGCTGCAAAATAATATGTTGCGCGATCAATGCCCCGGAGTTTACTATGCTTAATAAGCCAAACATTCAAATTATGCCAGCAGTACCCTCTTCCAAAAAAATATAATAATTAATCATAAGTAATGATTAATTATGTAAAAAAAATAACTGCAAGTACAATCTGTCGAAGCCTAGTAATGGGAAAAGGCCGTTAACAGAGGTTCGACTGTAACTAAAAATACATAGCCTATTGACGGTCTTTGTCCTTCGAATGAGGCTGTTTTGCTTACTCGCAAGTTTTAATTTCCTTAACTCTGTTGTTTCTTTCGTTCGAAGAGGAAAGGAACAAGAGCACACCCAGAAGTGAGTTACCAGAAAAAGAGCTAAATATTTACGGTCGCACGAGGGAGATTGAAAGCGTTGTTCAAGCCCTTTATGGAGAAAACGTGACAGGCGTGGTTGTCAGTGGAACGGCTGGAGTAGGAAAGTCCACGGTAGCCATTCAAGCTGGGTATCGGCTGAAAAACGAGTTTGGAGCCATTGTGAAATTTTGCTCTTTGAGAGGCGCAGGGAGTGGCGAACATGACGGCGTTGTAAGAGAAATTCTGAATGTGTGTGCTCCAGGCCATCAACAAGGTAGCGATTATCCAAAGCACGTTTTGCTGAACTGGTGCAGGCAGCTAGAAAATGAAATGGTACTTATCGTTGATAACGTGGAAGATGCTATACTGGGTCGTGATAAGTACTCTTTTTTTAATTTGTTGGGCGAGATGAGGATGCGTTCAGACTGTAAAATAAGGTTCTTGATAACCTCGAGTTGGGACATTGAAACTACCGGAACGGTTTCAAACATCCCACTTCTTAAAATAAGTCTCGGTCCTCTGGATGTTAAGGAAAGCGTACAAGTTCTAAAGAATGCAGCTAATTTGACGTCCCCTGAAACTGAGCCGAACACTGAAGTCAAATTGCGCGAAATAGCTGCACTTTGTGAGAACATTCCCCTCGCACTACGATTAGCTGGCCCTCTTCTTGCTGTGGACTCTGAATACACTTTTGAGGAACTAAAACTTAAGCTTGAAAAGAACCCGACACGTACTCTTGGTCTTAAACCAATAATGGAAATAGCTTTTGAAAAACTAGACGAGTCTTTGCAACGTGCGCTAGTTTCTCTATCAGTGTTTCCTCAGTCTTTCAAGAGAGACGCAGCAGCAGCAATACTTGGTGATAACTGTGCTGAAGCTTTGACAAATCTGAAGAAAAGGTGTTTGATCCAGAAACAGGGTGACCGATACCTCATTCACTTGTTGATTAGAAGCTATGCTAAGCAGATCGGACAAAGAAAAGATTTCGGCCAAATTCTTGCTGATGGCAAGCAGGGTTATCTAAAGCACTTTTTGTCACTGATTTTGAGAAATGCTCAGGTATATTGGGCGAAAGACACATGTAAGGAATCTTTAAAGCTGTTCAATGAAGAAAGGATGAATCTTGAGTTCATTTTAAGAGAAGTAGCAAACGGCCAGAAGAAATTCCAAAATTGCAAGGAACTTGAAGATGTAGTAGACTCCTGTAGTCAGGTAGCACCATACATTGAAGATTGCGTACCTTTTAAACTTTATGGTGACTTCCTTAATGGCCTTCTTCAGTGTTCTCGGAGTCAAGAGAAAATAACGAAACAAGTGGAGATTTTGTGCCTCCTCTATGATGAATCAAGAAGACACGGCGGAGAGATGGAGAAATCAAAAGATCTCATCGATCAAGCCATCAAACTTCACGAGAGTCATTTGCCGGTTTTTGAACAGAACAGCTTGTCTGAAGGGTTTTATTTGAGCCACTATGGAAGATATCTGTCACAGGAATGTGAAATGAGAGTTCAAGCACAACCTTTTCTAGAAAAGGCGATCTCAATCGTTGAAGAGGAAACAGTTGAGCAAGCATCTACATTTGATATAGGCAGAGTTCTAGCTCAGATGGGACACAATGCAAGGCTTGGTACACTCGACAATGCGGATACAAGATACAAGAAGGCTCTAACTAATTTTCAAAAAGCCCTGCGCTTTCGTCAGTTAAATTATGGTGAGCATGTTGTGACTGCGCTTGCACACAAAGACGTGGCAGGTATCTTTTTGTCTATCGAAGATTTCGGCAAAGCAGAAGAAAACTACGAAGCAGCTGTTCAAATTTTTGAAAGCATGGGAATGATGAAACAGAAAGAGGCAATTCCTACCTATAAAAACTTTGCAAGGTGTTGTGAAAAGAGTGGTAAGATTGACGAAGCACGAAGAAAATTGGAGATGGCGATTAAAGTTGCTGATACCACTATCGAGGGGAGCCACAAATGGAAGGTTGAGATCAACACCAATTTGGCATTGATTTTGTATAAAAATTACCCCGATGAAGTTAGTAAAGCGGATCAACTTTCAAAAGAGGTTTTTTGCATGGCCAAAAAGCTTAAAATTGAGAAATGGCATCAGAGCGAGAAACTCAAACCGTTATACAAAAAGAAATAGACCCGTAGTTAACGTTATAGAGAGGAGAAGTCATAACGTCACGTTGCCATGGTAGCAAAATTTCTGGATGATAACAAACCGAAAACGTCACTTTTTTGAAAAAAGTAAATCATTGTTTCAAACTTCATCGATCTTATTCAATTTTATTTAATTTGTCAAATGCTGGTGACATTTTCTATGAATGTATCCGAAGGCGTGGCCATAATCACATGTCCTAGCTTTCAAAGATGAAAGATACGTGAAAGATCCAAAGCGCCACACGACAAACTATCGGAGAGTCCTGGCTCCAAAGCAAACTTTACTGCGAGAAACAAGAAAGGAACAAACAGCATTATGCGTCTACTGTCATTAGGACATGGTTTCGAATATGATCAAAACAGCAAGGTGTGATAAATCATTGACTCCATAGGCAAATTTAAAACATTTTCCTCTAATCTCTTCTTCAATATGAATCCGCTTGGTGCTTATTTCATTAATCAGGCCCACAATCCTGGCAAAACGCGTCTTCCTGAATGGAGGAGGCGGCTATACACAGGCTTTGTCGTCCTTTCATTTTCGACTTGTAAACACATCCACCGAGCACGATCTTGCGAGAGGTCTCGCGAGTTAGTTCCTGGATTTTAAGAGCTAAACTGTGATCAGGATGATTATGTCCTACGTCACAGAAATCGTTTGGCCACTCGGGTTCGCAGACGTTACTTTTCGGGTAGAGAGAAACGACGACTGGAAATACGTCTGTGTCCGCAAGCCAAACAATTATATGAAAACCAGAGTTTAATTATTGACTCCAGACTAGGGACCAAAGTGCACTTGAAGTGTAACTGAAGTCAAGAAGACTTGAGATCTACTTTGGAAAGAAGATTCAATAGATTTTCAGGCGTGACTGCCCGCAGCTAAAACAGTGGTTTTTGTATGAACAGTCGTAAGAAGGTTTCCAAATTGTTGTTTCTAATAGGTGGTTTTCATGTAGTCTCGGGAGACACAAATAACAATGGTGAAATGAACAAATGCTAGTGGACAAACAAAACAAGCTAAAGAGCGATCTTTTGATTACCGTCCACCAGCATAGCGGCGATGACATAACGTGAAAACCACCTATACTTTTACATCTGTTATCATTATTTTCCGCGGGGATTATTTTTTAGGCTCCCTACAGAAATACGATAAATCATTCATTCTACTTGGTTGACGTTGTTTGTGTCTGCAACTTGTCGTGCTGTAAGTCCACATTTTCGCGTGAAGTTTCTTCGCGGCGGAATTTGATTTTCCTGAAAACTTGTGCACAACTGTTGTGACACGCCGTTAATCAAAGAAAAATGGTTATTTTGTTTTGCTTGCGTGTTTAGATGCGAGTACAAGTCAGCGTGCAGTTGATAAGCTACAGCAGAATTACATCACAATCTTCTTCTCAACGTAGAATTTTCTACCCAAATTTTGCTTGAAATAAGCCTTCAAAATACAACTGCTAAAGTAAAACTATGGAGTCTTTTTGAAGTCGCACGTGACTGCAGGCTGCAGAGAGCTCATTCCCTGTGGAATTTTAAAGTTGCGCGCCCACGTGCTTTCAGCCTCAAAGCTGTCCTGTGATTCGTCAAGTGCGCCCTCCAAGTAAGGGGGCACCTGACCAACTGCACTTGAATTCTTTTGTTTTACGCTTATCACCAGGCTAGAAAGGAATCCAAAAAGTGAGGGCCATTAAAACTTTCACACTTTAAGTACGTGAGCTACACTTAGGGGATTCTGCACAAACTTACAGCACGTGCCATTTAAAAAGACGTTTTGGACAAAAAGAGAGGGAAAACGTAGCGCTTATAGAAAACAAACTACTGCAAATTATGAATTTTTTTAATTACACTCAGCTTTTATTCATGTTTACGTCTTTGATACATTTCACAAAGAGAATTGAACGTGTAAAATCAGATGAGTGCGTCTATTAAAACTTAATTCAGACTCCCTCAGCTGTCATCATCAATCTCTACCTCCTGTGTTCGTACCCTTTCAATCTGTGAGTTATTCAAGGCAATGGTAAAATCGCTATCTTGATGTTGATCTTTATTCATGCGTTTTCTCAATCGCTTCCCAATAACAAGCACAGATTTCGTTTTCTTTCCATTAATTACCATTTTGTTCATATTCGCCCAACGCTGAATGTTCCCTAAATTCCTTTGAATGTTATTGTTTACTATAGAGATGTTATTCCACTTAGAGCAAGATGTTAACGTCGCATCATCAGCATAAATAACGATGTTAGAATTCTGGATATGTAATGGAATGTCATTAATGAGGAGGAGAAAGAGTATAGGTCCAATGATGGTTCCTTGAGGGATACCTTGATCGATGGGTAATAGAGACGATGTACATCCGTGCACACTTTTTATTGATCCGCGCCTGAAGTTCACTTCAACGGGTTCAAAACGACATGGTTTGAAGAGTGGAGTGCTTGTTTCATCGGCTAACCTTTATCCGCCCTGCTTTTCTAAACAAAGTCTACAGGTCTTCCCCACCTTTTCTGCTCCCAGGCCACGCTCGGCTCTTTGCGCTCTCCGATTTTCTTAGTTACCCCGCTGCGCTCCACTTGAGTCTGTTCGCAGGGTATGCTGACAATGAGATAGAAATTGACTGGCTACTACCAAGAGACTCCCCGAAGACCTAGTTTGCGCAACATCTTCCAAAAACATGCAACAAGGTGTGCAAACGGACGCAACATGTAACATCCAACAATGTTGGAAGTTGCTTGCCAACAATGTTGCGTCCGTTTGCACGTAGCTTTAGTCTTTTTTTTTAATAAACTTTTATTGAACACTTTTAATTCTGCTCTAGCACATCCTTTCGTCTTGTTATTATGTACTGTTTTGTTGGGAAATTAACTTACTATTTGCTGAAAATAACATCAACCGGAAGTGAGACCTTTCCTCTTTTAATATGCCCCCACGCTACTATATTTGTATCACTACATTTCTTTTAACTTACAGAGAAGATTTAACAGAAAATTAGGGCAAAACTACTGCCCAAGAATGCATAAAGTCCACTTCCGGTTGACGTGCATCGTTTAAAAACGTCTTTACTTAGGGTCCGTACGTAATAAGCACCCACAGCGCCTAATCGAATAAATACGGTAAGTGGATTGCCGAAACCAAATTCGGTTATTTTGTTTACCCTGAGCTTACCTACTTTGGAAATCTTTTCATATCATAGCAGATTCACCAAGATTCAGGCATGTGAGCAATATTGTTTATCTGGGGGAGGTTGAAATGATGTCTATTCAACACTTCTCATCCGAAAAGGATTAAAAAAAACATTTTAATAGGTAGGACTTGCATGAATTGTTTTCCCCGTGCTTCTTTGTGCACGAATTTTCTCCTAACTTTCTTGTGCAAGATTTTTGTACTTCCCCAAGGCCACCCCCTTCAAAAATAAACGTCCGTCCCTTAAAGTTTGTCGTCTTTGCTGTGATTGGTCACAAAACAATAGTTTGACAACAATTTTATCACGTTCAAATAACACCAGCCTTAATTTGCACAAGGAAATAAAGTGTAGTAACCGTGATCTTTCAGTTGGCCCTAATCGTCAGCAGAATTTCAAGATCGCTGTATCAGGTAAATTTTTCAAGTATGTAGCTCTCCCTCAGTCTTATTCCGCGAAGGGAAGAAGACACCTAGTTCATCAGGTGAGAAATGGTTTGTTGTCACTCCAGCTTGAACAAGAGTAGGTTACGGCCGCCTGGCGGAAAGCTACGATAGCTCCCCAATTCCTTGTCATATATCCTTGCTTACTCTCCATCGTGGGTAGTCGAGAAATTATCATAAAAAGTGACGGTTTATAAGCTTGAGTAAGAAGACTATTGAAACGGCAATGTACATGTACAGAAGTCCTCAGTCGCATCATTATGTGTCGGTTCAGTTTACCGCTGATAACGGAACTAAACTCGGCACCTGTTTTCCTTACTTGTTGAAATTACCTCCGTGAATCAAGCTTGATATCGGCTCCGAGATTCAAAAGTTATATCAGCATTCGAGACTTTGAGATGGGTCAATTTGTAGCGAGCCCGAGATTCCGAGACTCTCATTTTAAATGTCGTGGTTATTTAGACACGGATGATATTTTCTGAGACGGGCGAAACTTGCTTTCTTAAGCAATATTTTAAAGTATCACCTCGAGTCGCATGTTTTAATGTGTATACTAGATGAACTGCGTCACCTCTTTATTCACTTGAATTGCTACCTGAGATTAGAAGGACTTTTCAGACGATAATTTTTGATGCCTTACTGGACGCATCTTGGAATGCAAATGTTTGCTTAAAATATCTACAGCATTTTTGCAACGTTTTGAGGTTTGCACCCTTAATCATAAATATAGATTCACTCTATGGCTTGATCATGCACAAGAAATTTTAAGTCGCAAACGGTGTTTCGGTAATCAGCATTAACAGAATATGCAAAAACATCTTTCGAATACAAAGCAAGGCATAAAACGTGGCTCGGCAATCAGCATTTAGCTTAATGGATGAAAAATTCCTTCCAATATAATGTGATTTTTGAAGCGAAACCTGCACTCCATCACTAATAGCGCTTTGCACTATTACTAAAAATAGGTTTTGTCACCTTCGACCCACCGCGTGACAAACTTTGCATTCCCTGAGTTAAAGGCTTTGTATGAGCAAAATGCGCTTCCGAAATGAAAATTGTTCATAACATTCGCACTGAGCGTTTTTAAAATGTTTTTTGAGCATTATTCTAATATATAAATCGCATTACTGCGATAAGGAGCAAAATCTGGTCTAGGTAACTCAAATAATAATAATAATAATAATAATAATAACAAATAATAATAGTTAAAATTTATAACGCGCCTTTTCCATGCAAATATGATCAAAAGCGCGTAAATAAGTATACGAAAATAACTCTTGTCTGGTCAGCGACCGACAGACCGCTTTGAGTTCGTTCAGGGGCACCCAACATCAATTTTCGGAAAATATCTGTTCGGAAGACGATTTGACATCT